AGCATTGCCAACTTAATTAAACTTAATTACAAAATTGATCATTAATATATCATATATTATCTTTATTATATTGAACTTAAATTTTTTAATATAATTAATGAATCAACAACCTCTATAAATTGTATGCTATGAGTAAATAGTGCAACTAATTAATTACAAGTAAGCAGTAAATAATTATAATATAAAAATGGTCAATAGTAATAGAAAACAATATATATTAAAAATATAACTAGATATATATACAGTTTAATACATAAGTATAATGCTTTATCGTGTAGTTCAAATAAATTTTTATGTTATACAATACTATTAACTTACAAATCTCTTTAAAATGATATATAGTGATAGTAAATTTCAGTCATTTAAAACATCATTTTTGATCTATTTAAATTAAATGTAAATATATTATTATTTTAAATTCTTTGATTGCAATAAATATGCATTAATAATAACACTTTAGATGACTGAAATTTACTATATGTCTAACTATTATATATAAAAATTAAGTTGGTGATGCTATTAATGTTAATAAATCTTAGCAATAATATTGTATACATATTGTATCTCTAGAAATTGTTATTATACTTTATATTTAATGACACGAATAAATTTTAGTATAAATATAAGTGTACTTGCGTTATTATACTTTATATTTAAATTTTATGTAATAAGTATTCTTGTGTTATTGTATTTTCTTTTAACATAAGTGGTTGACATCGTTAGATATTAATTTGTTTTCTTCTTGTGTAATAGATTTAAAAAATATAAATACAAGTTTAATTAAAAGGTAATGATAAAAGAATTTTTAATACAATGAAAAACCAACCTAGAAATAGTATACTGCCACCACTATACTCTGCTGCACCTATTACTCGTTCCCAGTCAAATCTCTCTCAACTATTAAATACTAACAATATCACTGAACCTTATTAACCACCTAACCTTAATGATGATGGTTCATCTTCTGATTCAACCACTAGAAGCATTAGAAGTATTCAACAAATGTATTCAAATATGAGCAGATCTTCTTTACAAGTATCTTGATGTCAATCATGCCAACCATCTACTACCTGTTCCTTATCTTGCCAGCCTTCCTTCACCCCTCAAAATGAACCTACTTTCTATACTGAATCTAGATATCATTCTAGATCGCACTATACTGATTATAATCGATCAATATCTTCAGCTCAACGACCTTCTTCAAGATCATAATCATGAGAGAGATCACCAATATGTGATAAATCATCCAATCAAAATTGTACACATAGTCAAAGTAGTACGTATATAAAGGCTTTTTTTTTAACATTTGTCATTGATTTTTTTTTTTTTTTTGGAAAACTTTTTTTTTTTTTTATTTATTTTTATTGTGTGCATTAAGCAAACTACAACCATCCTGATCGCTCTGATCACCCTGACTGCTCTGGCTGCCCTGACTGCCATGACCATCATGACTGCCATCAGTATCATCAGCAAGTTGATGAACGAATGTTCACCCAACTTAAGCATTTATATTTAATATTCAAAAGACTTAAGGAAAGTACAAATGAAATTAAAGCCAGGCTAGGCCGCCTAGAAAGGCATCAAGAAGAACAAGAGAATGATCTCTTTGCACAAGTGATAGATGTAAGTGTTTTGGGTTAGCAACAATTTAGATCTAGCATGTTTAAGCGATATATAGCATTTAGGATCTAGCATGTTTAAGCAGTATATAGCGTCTAGTATATAATATATATATTGTTTTTTAAAAATATATATAGGATGTGTTTACCTGTGTGGCCAAGCAGCTCTTCTCGTATAACATATATCCTAGTCAAAGTGATTTGAAGGATGTGCTTAAACAATGCTTTGAAGAAAGGTATTCTGAGTTTATGCATAGTTTAAGTTCCAATCAATATACTAATAGATTTCATAGTGAATGGTTCAACCCCGTATGTATCGATATCTATCATTTTTTAAAATATATTTCTTTTAATTATGACTTATTTACTAATTTTTACAATAGCTTTTCAAAAAATAAAGAACCTGTGAGGTGCATCGGTTCAAAACGTAAGGGCAGCAGTCTGGTGCATGTTCAGTTGTGAAAGACTACCACTATTAAAAAAAAATGCTGCACTAGCCAATATAGTAAGTTGGAAGCAAAGTGAAAAAGTTTTGGATTGTTATCATGTGCTCTTTGAAATGAACAAGGAAGGTGTCTTTTGGGTATCAATAATTGCGAGAGCAGCCTTTTTCGAGATTGCTGTACCTACACTCTCAAATGAGCATTGCACTTTTATCCTCACAGTCTGTAATATTTTACTTAATCCCAAGTCCAGAAGTGTCACATGTTCAGAAAAACGTCTTATGCATCATATCGAAAGATATCTTGTAAGTGCCATTATTAATTGTATATGCTTTATTAATAGTAATTAATTATTTATTTTTTAATATAGAACAATTTCAGTAATGGTGGTCCATCATATGAAACAGCCGAATCGATACTAAACAATGTGAATCATGGTTCTTCACGACAAGTATCGCCTCAGTATGACCTGTCGCCCAAGTATGAACCTGAAGCAGGTTTTTCATTATTTTAACAATCATCTCAACATCAAACAGAACTTTCACAGAAGGATGCTGATGATTTATTTGGTTGCAATGATTAAATTTTTGTTACAAATATTTTTTTTTGAATTAGTTTACATTTGCTAGCAGTTATTATGTAATAAATTATAATAAATTTTATTATTTGTGTTATAATATGATTATACAGTTTTAGTAACAGTAATAAATTTATATTATGTATTGTAATTGGCTTTATAAATAATATGTTTTATAAATATCTTATTAGTGATATCATCTTTTAAAAAAAGTACTTGATTAAACTGGTTATATATCGATTGATAATCTTATTAGATATATATCGATTGTTTAAAGCTAGTTATATATCAGTTTATATCAAAATCGATATAACCCAGCAGGGGTGATTAGTATCGATATATATCTAATGGGTTACCAATCGCTATATATCCCTATATAAAATTTTCCAATGTTAATTAGTGAGACATCATGTTTCAGTTTAGTAATAAGGTTAGTTTTTTCTATATCTCTTCACTTTAAATTCAAAAATCTGGCTTCAACTTCTTCTTTGTCTTGTTTTAATTTTGTATTCTCAGATTCAAGATCAGCATACTTCTTTCTAAGTTCGCTAATCTTGAATGTAAGCTTGGTATTTAATTCTCTTAGTGAAATAATTGTAGATTATATATCTGTCATTGTTTTATATAAAATGCAAATATATTTAATTCTTTATCATAAAGATTTAAATTCATGTAACAAAAATCGCTGGATTAAATACAATAAGTAAAAATGCCAAAAAATTTCAGTGAACAATGTTCATCAAAAAAATGACAAGAAAAATTTTCAATCGCATCAATATCAATACAACGTAATAAAACCCCAAAATACACATGCAAAAGTAAACATGATTATGTATGTGAAATTAGCCACCAGGGTCAGCTTTATTATATAAAAATATAAAATATTTTCATTAGGAAGATATCAAAAAATTTTCATGATAGTATTTTATTTTTTATCAGAATACATATGCAAGATTATATGAGTAAAATTCAACTTATAAATACTGTATATATGCAAATATAAAGCCCAAAATATTGGCAGACTTTATTTTTTTCGAATACAAAAAATACAATATAGTCACAATAAGAGCCCAAAGCACCTGGTGAAATAATTATTCCTATTATGCTAATTTTATTTTTCTAACACTGCTTAATAAAGTTCAATAACTCTACTATAAATTTAGGCTAGCCCAAATGCATTATGCAGTTTTGATCCTTTCTAGCCAGTCATTATTTGGAAACTACTGAAATTTAAACTTTGTTAAAATATATTACAAACAAAAAAACTATATATTAATCTGTTATAAATAATCACCTTTCTAAACATATCTTTTACCCGATCAAGAGCAACTGAAGCGGTTGGTCGTCTATTTGGATTACTTTTACACAAATCTGTGCTGAAACTTGAAAGTTCTGAAGAAATGCCTGTGACATTACATGACCCAATTAAGTTCCCAACGCCCCATATATCAACCTTAAAATCATGCTTTTTATTTAGCATTTTAGAAGCATGATCACTTTCAGAAAATTCTTCTAAAGGCTCATTAGAAGGGGAAAAGTCAGCATAGTCAAAGTCAATTAAAATAAATCTTTGATATCCATCGTAATGGCGAATAATATTTGGTTATCAAACATCTCTGTGCATTATCAGTTTGGGCTTGATTTCATGCATACCCTGTTGGAATATGATAAAAATGTATAAATACAATATATATACATAATAGCGAAAATACTAAACTATATCTTCAAACAAATTAGTGTACAAATTAATGCCTGCAGTAATTCTTTGAGATCATGTAGTTCACGTTGTTCTCTATGTGGCACCAAATTAACAGAATGTATAGATGAATATTCTAATTTGTCAGAAAATCTAATATTATTTGTCTAAACAAATAGTTAGAATATATCCAAAAAAGATAAAATTCTTGAAATTTTCGAACTTACGCTTAGCATTTCATAAATTTCTTTTAAATGAGTAACTTGCCTTTCGTCTGCAATTTTTTTTTTAATTGTATACCCAAGTTCAATAACAGTTTCACTTGGTCGAAAAATTGTTTGAAACTCTGGTGATTCCCTCAGAGGGCATAAATTCACTATAAGAGGTAATAGACAACCTAAATAACTATATAATGAATTAGTGTTTTATGATTTATGATAATTTAAAGCTTATAAAGATATTTACAAATATTTTGAAGGAAATTCATGATGCGAATTCTATCTAACAAATGTCCTAAATCAAATTTTGCAATTTTTTCAGAACAAATGTTCAGTTTTCTCTTCTTATTTTTAGGCTTATACAAAATAACCAATGTGACTTGAACACCAATAGCATAGTATGCAAATATATATGAAGCATTTCCATAAGACCAATCTTCTATTTTATCAACTAATTCACTTGAAGGATCTCCTGAGTCTTCCAGTGACTTCTCTTCACCTCGGAAAGGACAAACATTTTTCCACTAATACCACCATGTCCGGGCGATTGCGACCTATAAATTTTTTTGTTAATATGCATCATACCGACCAATCTATACTACTAAATTTATCTGTTGAGGTTCATTTACTCATATTGCGATCAAATTCTAATTTTGACAAACTACCGCTATGCATCCCAAATGTCTCTATCGTATTTTTAATAACACTATCTCATAAACAATAATACGAGTCTTCAGTTTTTTCATTTAAGGAAGAATAAATTAATGGTGTTATAAGTCTTAAATAAAGTGAAGTGCATTCCACTTCTGTACTTAGTACAAAATATGTATCTCACTCTTCTTTAGTTATACCACCCAGGCTAGTATTAAATTGGAAATAATGATTAGGCATAAGTGGTATTTTTACTGAAGAACTTTCATTAAGGAAATTTGCCAAGTCAAATTTATTAGGAAGCTGATCAGGGCCTCAGATTAACTGATTTATTATTTCAAGAGTAATATCTAAGATAATGAAATATTTTAGGAATATAAGAGCAAGAATAAAAGAAAAAGGAAGGGTTAGTAAAATTAGAACTTACCTTCCAGTGCTAATAATATAGAGGGAGCTACTATTATGGAGGAGATAATACATATATAGTGGCGGCCAAAGATATTGCATCATCTGAACACAAAATTTAAATTTTTAATATCTCATAGTACAAAAATTACAGCAACGCAAAGAAGGCTTTATTGAAATCATCAAATCAAACATATTAAATGTTATAAATTTATTTTTGCAACAATAAAAAATAAATCAAATTATTAATAAATAATAATCTTTTGGGCAATGCATTTATTTTGATCATTTTCTTGATTTTTATTTATTATAAAATAAATTTAATAAAAAATGATTCTATTACAAAAATATTTTGATGAATTGTTATTCACCATCTAGTATAACTACCCTTTGCTTTAATTATATCATTAATATGGGACGGCATAGATTCAATGAGCTGTTTACACACGTCTACATCTAACTCAACCCAAACTTTTTGAACAGCATTCCACAATTCATCAGGAGTTTTCATGCATCCAAGTCTTCTCAGATGATGGTTTATTTCATTTCACAAATGCTCAATTGGATTCAAGTCTAGGGATTGGAAAGGCCAATTAAGCACCTTGATCTCGTTTTCTTTTAACCACTCCTTCATAAGACGTGCAGTATGCTTTGGATCATTATCTTGTTGAAAAATAATGTTTCTCTTATCCAAATAATGCTACTTGATAGTACCTAGAAGGTCTTCTTCCAATATTTGATGATATAAAGCACTATTCATATTTCTATAAATGCAGCAGAGGTTGCCAACACCACTTGACGTGAAATACCTTCACACCATGATACTGTCTCCTCCAAACTTGACCATGGGTTGAACATGGTGGTCTTGTAACGATTCTCTAGGCTTTCTCTAACAATACTCTCGACCATCAGATCCAAAAATCATGAACTTGGATTTATCTAACTACACCACCTTACTCCAGTCTTCGATGGTCCAAGATACATACTTCTTTGCAAACATTAAACATTAGTGCTTGTGGGATTTAGATAGATATAGCTTTTTACATTTGACTTGGGCTCTTAATCCATTACAGCACAAAGTCCGTTTGATTGTGTTTTCACTAACAATAATTCCCTCATCAGTTTTTAGCTTTTTTTGAACAGAAACAGTGTTGATACATTCTTCAGTTGCAATATATCACAACACTTTTCGCTCATAGCGGCCGGTAAGTAGTCTCAGGCGTCTAGGCTTTGGTTTGTCACTAAAGGTATCCGTTTCTTTCTTGCATTGCTGATTCTTACAACAGTAGATTGAGAAACTTTTTCATGGTCAGCTACATATCGGGTTTAGTATTCTTCATTTAAAAGGGTAAAAATTCGGGCTCATTTTTCAAATGACAGGTAAACCATATGGTCTATAATTTTTTTGATAGGAGGGCTATGTCATAGAGAATCACTTTTATATATAAATAGGATGCTATTTACAAACACGAAAAGATCACGCACTATGTTCCAATGTTTATTTACTAAATAACCAAAAGTATTGCATCACTATTTTTTAGATTTTTTCAAATCAACATGTGAATTTTCTAAAAGAAAAAAAAAAATTTATATATACGGATAAGTTATGGTATGACAAACCCAATTTTTGAACATCGTAGCACTGTGAATGTTGAGTCACGAGATATTGCCTTTTTAAATTTCATGTTCAGGTGATGCAATATCTTTGGCCACCACTGTAAGTTAGTTATTTTTTTTGTGTTTGATAGCAGTAAAGAAAAAAAAACATCATGAAAAAAATTAGTTATTTTCGTGATTTTTAAGAATATAATGCTTTAGTGAGTAGGATTACATAAATTAACAAACCTTGAAGCTGTTGCTCTATATAACAGGAAAAAATGTATATGGCCCAAGTTAATAAATGAAATTATTGCAGAAAAAGCAGTATAGGTTTGGAATATTCGAATGCAGTCGTGATACTACTTACTCTGTTCTTCACCCTTGATTTTTTCAATAAATTCAGTGATGGTTTTAGCCGGTTCTCTTTTTAAACCATCTTGCATAAGTTTATCGACATTCAAGCTGAGAAAATTCTGGCCTTTAATTTTTTGTTCATGAATAATTTTGAAATTATCATTATCTAGTCCTAAGTCTTGCTTGCCCAAAAACTCTATTAGTTGTTCTGTTGTTTTACATCTTCTCACTTCATCGGCTATAGAAAGAACTTTTTCTTTGCAGTAGACATAATTATTTACGTATTTAGTTTTTGAGATAGGATGAAAAAATTTTTTTAGTAAGAAATAGTCATACATTCTACCTTTTTATAGTTTATACAAACAATCAGATTGTCATACAACAGGTCACGTATTGTTATACAATAAAATGACAATACCGATATTGTATTTTTCTGTAATGATAGAAATTTATTTTTATTATTTGAGGATAATATGTAGATGAGTTAGGAACTTGAAACTATTATGAAATAGTGAAGCTTTTACTTAGCACTTCTTTTTTTAAAAAATTATCACATTCACATCACTTATATATTCTATCCACCACCTTTTTGCATGTTTTGCAATATAGGTGTGAATGGTGATTGCATTCGTTACAAACCTTACACCTATGCTTCCAACCTCTAAATATGTGCCACTTTTTGATATAACTTAGACTTTTTTTATTTGTATATATGTTATTCAAATTTTTTATCATTGTATATTATATATAACAAAAAAAATAATATACGTATATAAATTATACATAATGATAAATTATACGTGGCTAAAAAATTTTTTATTATACAAATCTGTAACATGTGGCAGTTATGTTTATGAGTTTATGATCAAATTATATGTGCACCTTATAGAGGTTGTACAATACATGTCTTAAATAAATTATGCATAAGCTGTAAGATAGTATTGATAATATGTACTACACGGGCCTCAAGCTAAAAGATCATAATAACTTTTAATTTTGATTATATAGCAAGTTTCACTTTGAATTTATGACCAGACACATTTAAAAACCAAATAATAATATAATATAACTTTATTATGAGAATGAAAATGGGCTAGGGAGAGCTAAGTAAAAAACTTATAAGTAGTGAATATTTAAAGGAAGAAATTTCTTGAGCCCTAACCCATAAAATGAGAGTTCCTTCCTACTACTCTGTGTTATTAGCTAAGTTAAAATTATTTTTACTATCTATCCAAGCACCTATTTTATTTAAAGTATTATCTCTAAAATCACCATTATTATAATAAAAATTTTTTATAGTTTCCTTACTAATCTTTCCCATTCCAAGACTACGAATCTCAACAAACACCATATTACATATATCGTCTAAAGAATAATTATTGTCTGTCATAATCTTATCAAAAAGAATTTTAAAGTGATTTCTGATTGTTAAGATAATATTAGAAAAAGATAATTGGCTTGAGCCACTGGAAGGATCTAGAGAAGAACCAAAAGATCTGAAAGAAGAACCAGAAGATCTTTGAGGAGAATTAGATGTAAGTACAGATGGGTCAGCAAATTGTTCAGATATTAATAGTACTACAGAACCTGTTTCAATTAAATGATCCAACTGATTACGAAGAAAATCATAATTGGTTGTGATTTTATTAATAGTTTTGATTATGGTATTTACTATTGTCACAATTCTCTGTTCCTCAACAACAAATGTAGCATCTCATGATGTAATATCTGCAGTTAATCTTTTAACATGTGCATTGAATTCCATGGTAAGTTGTTGTTTGATGATATACATGGCGAAGCACGTGGCAACAAAAATCAGATAAACAGAGATTTTTTCGGCGAATAACATTAGGCACACAAAGACCAAAAATAGTGCAATTTCCGAAATATTGATCGAAGGCATCTATTAATAGAAAAAAAGATCATTAGTATAGATACATGAGTGTGGAGTAACCTAGCAAATATGCAACTAGAAATCAACCTTAATTTGTGTAAAACAGATGAAATAAATGAGGTTTATTTTGTTGTTTTTGGCAGGACTATTATGCCTAGAAATTATTTTTATTATTTTGGCAAAGTTAAAGTACAAGATGTGAAAGTTTATTAAATGTTTTAATTATTTTTATTTTTACAGATATTACTAATAAGAGTGTAGAAGGATTAACTAAAAATTTTTGGATCTCTTTTATATAAGATTTTATGACCTAGACATGTAAGTGTTATTGCTTTGCAATAAATCTGATTTGATCTCTTTGTTGGTAAAGGTCAGGACATATTTGAAAAAAATATTAATTACATTATTATCGCAATATAGGTGTAAATTCTAATTTTGAGAATGAAGACATAGATCTAAAGACTTAACAATATGTGGTTTGGGTAACTTAAATCAAGATAGATGTCATTTATGAAATCTAGTAGATATGGTGAATTATTATAATGATAATAATAACTGTCACATCAAGACCTCGATTAATATACACAATATCTAGAACCTGACTTGTGTAATATTACTCAATTTTGGTTAGATGCTGGATTTAATTTTACTACTCCAATTATATTTAGAGGTAAATCGCATATTATCGATCATTAACAAAATTATTTTATTTTATTAGTAGAAGTAGCAAGGCTAACATATTATCCCTTATATTACAGAAACTTCTATAGTAACTTTGATATATAGGCCAAATACTACCTATATGCTACTGAGAATATGCTAGAAAGTTTAAGCAAAAACATGATAATGGTGATCTACCAAAATACGCATAATATCGCTACTACATGTGATTTAATAGATCGTGACCTAGACTAGATTTGTTCATATATTGAATTTTGTCTAACATCACACAAAAAATTTGATTTACCATTATATATTAATTACATGGATTTATAATCAAAAAGCATTAGAGTACAAATTGCACAGAAAACACATATTGTAATATTAGTTATAAAGACTATATGGAACTTAAAAGCAGATCCGAAGCTAATATCTTCTACTTCGGCATGAGCCAGCATGAAATGCTAAAAAAAAAAGTGATTAATCTTACAATGTTTCAAAGTATTTTATATATTTGAATGTATCTTTTCTAAAATTATATGAATTTAGAAGGTTTCTATAATTATATTCTTCAATATTTGACAATATTGCATTTCTAATTCTTTTACTGAAAACTATATTTTTATTTAGCATATACATTTCTACTTTTACGAGCTCATCAAATATTGTTAATGCATTATTATATATAGGCTCAATTTCATTATTATTTATATCTGATCCTCTATAGCATCTGTCTAGTTTCTTTAATAAATCATAGTATTTTATATTAAAGTATTTTCGCCTCTTATAAAGTTCATAACAAATTTCTTTATACCATATGTAATTAATATAAATACAGTTATTTAGATCTTCTAATGACATTTTTTGAATGATTTTAGTGATGGTATCTGAAAGTGTAAGTGGGTTGAATATATGCATATTATATTGTATATATCAAATATGTAGATTTTATTAACTAAAACTTTTTATTTAATATATCACTCAATTGTGATCTTAAGAATAGCATTAGAAAAACAGTAAACAGCTAGCGATTACTGCTCTGGACTATTAATCTAGACAACTCTAGATCAAAATATCACTGCAAATTATCTCATATTTAAATCTAGAAGGTTTGAGCAAAATCTGTCTACTAGCAATGTTGTTCTGTGTAAGATGATTTATAACTACTTCAATGAGATCAGGAGGCATTAAAGGGCCAAACTTGAATATGGGCAGGTTTATTTATTTAATGATCAGTTTACTTTGTGCAGTAATGCAGTGTAGTGTTTATTTTTTCTAGTTGTCGAGGCAAGACACTATGTTATCAGGATGCAGTAATGTAGTGCAGTAATATGTTATTTCTCTGAAATACTTCTATGTTGATTCCACCTATAATAATTTTCTGAATTAAAGATTACTTAGTTCTAATTGGCTTATTTCTATGATGTTTTTGGCTAGGAAAAATAACCTTTTTTTTTGTAATATAGATGCATTTCTTTCGGGTTTTTTTAGATCAAGATCATACCAGTCTGAACCCGTGGATTCTGAATCAGAACTGGATAAATTAGTCTCTATAGATAATTTCTTAAACATATCTATAAACTTTTCTAAATTAAGATCAGGTTTATCGATTTCTGTTTCAGAATGAGATAAGTTATTTTTACTAGAGCTGGCTTTATTACTATTTTCTTCGATTAATGAGATACTCATACCATCGATTACAATTTTAGCATAGCAAACACAGATTTTGTGAGAATATTCAAAGCTTATTTTTGCTTCATGCATTCATAACCATTTTTGTTCCAGAACCAAATCAAATGATATATTTTGCGAATTTGAAAGTTTATTACTTTGGTATTATCTAAACTTCGCTACTTTTCTTTATAGCAAAATTGCAAATCTAAATATTTTATTTCACCTATTACATTCCTATAGAGATTCTTAACAGGATCACATATTCCATAATCTTCTTTAAGCTTATTGAACAAGCTCTTGCTAATGGTATTAAACTTTGACGATGTATTAATTAATGCTTTTACTAAAATTTTTCACTCTACAAGTGTATTTACAAATATATTAAGTATATTTAATAATATATATTATCACAAAAAAATAACTCAGTAAATAATTACTCATTCTTCAGTAATAAATATAATTATTTATAACTCGTGTTGGAGGATTCTTTCTGAGATAATTAACAATTGCAGAAATAAGATCTGTTTCATCTGATGTATGACTCAAATAGTAGTCTCTAAAGGACCTGGTTATAGCTATCTTATTTTGTCTATCAGTAAAGATTGGAATAAGTAAAGGTAAATTAGAATCGGAGAATTCATTATCGGAATAATCTGAACATTCGATTTTAATTTTTGAATTAAGTTTTTTCAGCACTTCATTACTAATCCTTCTACACCCTTTCAAACTAAGATATTTTAAATTAGTATAGTTGCTGGCTATCTTCTCGATAGCTTCATTACCAATTGAGCAATCACCAAGCTCAAGATGTTTAAGTTTTGAGCATGAGCGAGTAATTTCAGTAATACATCGATTAGTGAGATACATATATAAATTAAAACTCAGATGCTGTAGTTTTGGAGAAAATCTTGCAATTTCTATAATTGGTATATTAGTGAAACCCTTACTTTTATCAAGAATAAGAAAGCGTATATCTGGACATAAGCATAGAATCATACTAATCAATGCATCTGAGATTTTTAAACCTTCCAATCTGAGATATACTATCTTGGCGCAATAGGTTGGCTTTATTTTTCTATACATAACTCTTTTAAAGTTTATCAATCGCTGAATAAGAACCCAAGACATGTTTAGGGCATGCTGGCTTTGCTGATAATCTTTGTTGAAAAACTCAATGTGTTGCTATAGAATAGAAGCACCACAATGATACCAAAGATGGTTAACAAATAAAGTGAGATAGAGAGATTAATGGATTTCTAGAAAATATAAGATCTGTTCTAGCAATTCTGGTAAATCAAAAATATTTAGTTGCACCATTCTCAAGAATGTATATTATATATCTTTAATCGAAAAAACAGCTAATATTCAGATAATTAATTTAGGCATATTTTTAAATTAGCATTAATAAATAATTTAACATTTACAATGACCAAAGCTGATAGAACTGTATCTCATATTACTAAACAGGTATCGGGTAAAAAAATCTGGATCTGTCTTCACCAATTACTAAAAATAGTGAAACCCGAGATTTAGCAAGATATTATAAACTCAATAGCAAACTCAGATATTTCTTGAAGAAATCATACACTATGCAAGGCTAAAAAAAAAAAGAGATTTTTTAATGATACTGCATCTGGATCTAACTCTGAATCATCTAGCTACGAAGTAAATATCCCTAGCAACGATGATAAAGATTTTACTGTGAATGTGATGAAAACCAAAAAGCATGATTAGTAATTATATAGGTCTATAATATTCGATATCTTAGTATTTTCTTTCTTATATACTGGAATAACTGGCCTATCATTCATTACATTATAATGCTCAACTGATGAAGCATGATCTATTTTATGCCTACATGCCAATTGTCATAAATATTGATAGCAGAAATTATTCCTACCTTTATGTACTCTGGAAGTGTGATCAGCCCCTATTTTTCTTAATATAAATAAGGTAATTCTATGGACTTGGTTTGTATATATAACTTTACTTAAAAAATATCTAATAAGTCTAATTATTGTAAAACAGGTCCAAAGTGGTAAAACTGGGTTATAGTAAATGAATAAATAAGTTATGAACTAATCTAAATACTTTTATATAAGTCATAGATATCCTCAATTTCAGAAGTATTCTCATTAATTGCCTTGAGTATAGGAGCTAGGGCTTCAGGTTTAGGTTCTGGATCTGCGTCAAGGTCAGAATCAGAAGTATCACCCTCAGCATAATACATTCCAGAATTATGATAATCTATTTTATATCTCATTGCAACTCTGCTAAGGAATTCAAGATGTTGTAAAGTTAAATTTTGACCACTATGAACTCTAGAAGCATGTTTACCTCCAATTTTTCTTAATCTTTTGACTGTAATACCATATAATTTTAAAAATTTACTAAATACTCCTGTACTATGTTTTTCATTAATACTATAGACAGGATTGCATAACTTTCTAGTTGTTATTGCATCTTGGATCCAGATAAGTAATTCTTTTGCACATTCTGGATTCTTTTTCATGAATAGAAATTGTCAAGGTTTAGAATTATTTTTTGCTTCTCCTTTATTTTTAATATACCTGATACAATACCAAGAATAACTAGACTTATACTATTTAGGAAAATTCAATTCACTGGGTTTATAATAGATAATACGAAGAATGGCAACTTCGGCAGGTCTCATACTCAACATCATAATTACATCTGCAAGATCTTGCATAGTAGCAATTTTAGTAGTATTGATATTTTGAATTCTTCTAAGTCTTTCCTCTAAGGAAAAGTGTTTGGAAGTTTTAGGTAGATTGGGTAATCGCTGTTTGAGTTGTCTTTTTTGAATTTTGTTAGAAGTTCGAGTAACTTCTAGTAATTTGGCATATATATAAATTTGCTCAGAACCACCCCAGCTTCTGCTAACTCTCTACGAAATTGTGAAACATGAGAACTGGCTGCCACAATTGCTTCATCTGTATTATTTTTTGGCATAGCTAAGTCTAAAGCATGTAACCAAATATCCTACATATCTTTAGTTTTTGCACAATATTGAGCTATTTTCTTGATAGTAAGCTTTTTTTTTTTGTTGTTTAGAACCAGAGCTCCTATTTGATTTTCTTTGAATAAGCATCAATGAAGAGCCTCTTTCGCATCTTTATAAGCCTTTCAATCCAGTAACATAGTACTAAGCTCATCGGCATAAGCACATAATTGAAGCAGATTTGATTCAGCTGATAGGTTATATTTAGTGAAGACCTGATTCAAAATAGAGGTAAAGCTATTAGTTTTGGGTTTTCTATTTTTTTGGACAGTTGCCATGATAGATATGTAAATAATCTATATCGATAAGTAAAATATGATATACATTAACCTACTTATTTTTTTTAATTTGAAATTAATTTTTATGAGTCAGTATATATACTCAAAATTTAATAGATTGTTGTTTGAGTAATCTTATCAAAAAATAAACACGAACAAGACACAAGTTCAATCAGGCACAAAGTGTCATTTCTCTCAAAATAAAGTCTTAGAATTTGTAGCTTTACACAATAAAATTACTAAAAATATAGAAAGCATTAAAGAGGATATAACATTACTTAGGCACATAAGTGCTATTTTTCCAAAATAAGAGGTCCTGGAAAAATATCAATATATATATATGCCAGGTATATGATTAGACTTCATGCATAAAATCGAGGAAGTCAAATATATAATTCTTAAACCTGGTAATTTGTGCACATAACTCATTCTGCTTTTTTCTGTCATAATTCTCTTTACTTTTATATTTTCCTATGTGTTTATTGCATGCATTATATATTTAGACCTATTTAGCTTATCACAATCTCTACAAGGAGTAGGTATTGGAGAATTACAATGAATATAACATCTTTCTGATTTACTATATTAACCACAGATTTCTCCAGTTCTATGAATATATGAGCAATAGTAAATATCATCATGATTATATATAATAATTACTTCAATTAAATATATTGTAATAAAATTTACTAAAAACTATCAAGCTGTAGCAAATTTTAAAGTGAAGAAGGTCGAGTGAAAGATCTTTTATTTAAAGGAAAATAAAATAAAAGAAAAGAAGAAATATAAAAATAAATAAAATA